AGAGCGGCCTATTGGAAGCTCCATGGTATTATGTTCGTGACGAGGTGGTCGAACTCCTGCGTGACGCGGCCGGGAGGGTCCCGCGCTGCCAAGTGCGGTGCTAGACCGATGCCCTCGACAGGTGGCGCCGTTGTCGGGGATAATGGATGCCTACCGTTGTCCCTGGTGGAACGACATCCGGGTATTGGAATGAGAGAAAATCAGGCAATTGTGAGATGATTGTAATAAGTTTACGAAAAGCAGTATGTGATGCGTGTAATATACATACATATATATATAATTTAAGCGTGTGATGATCTTGATCTTTCTTGAGACAATTGAGAGATAGGTTAGAAAGATTGTATAAGAGGTCTCGTGATGGGTAATAGGTAATGTCCAAAGGAAGTTTAGGAATGAAGAGAATTTTAGAATTAGACTATGTAAGGCTGCGTAAAGGCATATAGGAGACACGGTAGCACGCTTTTCTGAGTGAAGAATTGTCATTGTCTTTTTAGCAGGGAAGCCAAGTAAAGGCGGCCAAACAAAATGTCGGGAGCTGCAGCCGGCGGGTCAAGGAGGACCCTGACGCTCGAGGACCTCGTTGAGGCCCTGGATCAGCGAGAGAGAACGCCGAGTAGTATCCCAAAGGTAGACACCTTCCATTTCAATGGCGAGAGGGTGTCCGAATGGTTGGACTTGGTCGACCACGCTCTGGTGGGGTTGTCAGATGTGGTGAAATTGCAGAGAATCATGAAGTATGTGTTGCATGTCCACCATCCAGAAGTGGGGAAGGTCATAATTGCGGCCAATGGAAGTTGGGACCAATTTAAGGACAGAATGCTAAGAAAGTACAGGCTGGGCGATGGCCTGTTAACAATGGCAGACTTGGAGGCGATGAACAAAGACGACTTCACCACGGTGAGTTCCTTTGTTCGAGAGTTCAAGAAGAAAGCGAGAAAGGTCCCAGGGATATCCGAAGAAGCTCAGTGTGCCATTTTTTTGGGCTTGCTCACCTCATCAGAGGCATATGAGTTGACAAGTCATGGGGGTGGGTCCGCAAAGCTCACATGGGCCACGATTGATAAGGGCGTGACTGTGGGGAGCTTGGATCAGGTAGAGCAATATCAAGTGCGGCTGCAGAGGCAGAAAAGGAAATAGAGAGATGCCACTGCGTCGGGGACCCCGGGAGTAAAAAGAATCATTACCGATGTACTCATAGAACTGGGGTATGGAAAGGATGCGGGGGTCCAAAAGCGGGTAATCGCGGCTGTCCACGACAAAGGAAAGGGGGTTGTGATTGAAGAGCCAGCTCAGGAGGATTGGGGAGAAGAGGAGCTCGTGCCCCAGCCCCTTACAAAGGCGCAGCGAAAGCATCACAATTTGACGCAAAGGGGGCAAGGCTCCGGAAAGGGGCAAGCGCCTTAAGCGCAAGCGGTAGTAGTCGCGCCAAGTACAGAGGCACCATCAAGTAGCGCAGGGCCTTCTCAGCCAGCACCGCCGCCGGCTGGCCAGTGGCCGTGGCCCATTTTCAACACCATTATACCATAGGGAGGTCCAGCTCCGTCAGGGCAGATGGTGCCCTACGAAGGGGCCCAGACAAGTATGCCCCCTCCGTCCTACCCTGCGGCCCAGGATCAAGCTGTTGCGCCGCCTCCGTCGCCCGCACCAAGTTCGACAGGAAATATGGCCGGTGGGGGAGGTCAAGGACAGGGTAATCAAGGGAATGGAGGAAGAGGTGGAGGAAAAGGTCGTGGTAGGAATGGAGGCGGCCAAGGAGGAGGCCGGTGGGACAATCAAGGCTATCAAGGCCAAGGGGGTCAAGGGGGCGGAAAGGCCCATTTTGATTGGAGGACTGCCACATGCCAGCACTGTGATAAGGTGGGGCATACTACACGGTTCTGCAATATAAGGCGGGAGGATGAAAAAGCAGGGCTGGTCTATTCGTGCATGGACGGGAATATGTATGATGAGGATGGACAGCCCATAGATCGGATGATTCTAGGAGGGGTGAGGGCGGAAACTTTGAGAAGGTGAGCCGCAAAGCAAGCGCCCCCAGCGACTTTTAGGTTGTGGCAGGAGAGAGACGAGCCGCCGGTGAAAGTAGAAGAGGTTGAGTATGGTGAGGAAGTGACTCAAGAGCCGCGGGCGGGAAGGACGAGGGAGGGGCCCGTGGCGACTCGTACCCAGTGTCCATCTAAACGTGATCTTGCCAAAGGAGGCAGAGTGGGCGGAGGCCGGAACGAAGATGGATTGGAAGTGCGTGGCATGCGGCATGGTGGACTTGGTGGTGAAAGGCTCCAAGTGTTCGGCAATGGTGGATACGGGTGCGGAAATGAACATTATCCGCGAAACCGATGCACTCAAGTTCGGCTTGGAGGTAGACCGCTCTGATTGCGGCGTCTTACATGGAGCCAATTGTAAGGCGGTGTTTTGTGGCACAGCCTCGAACGTGCTGATCGAGGTTGGAAAGGTGAAGGTCAGGGCATGTTTCTTCGTTATGCATGATGTGAACCACGACGTGCTTCTAGGGAGGTCGTTCCTATGCAGAACGGAGACGCTGATGTTTAACAAGCATGATGGGACTCTGATCCTGATCATGTGCGACCCGGCCTGCGGGAATTACGAAATAATTACCTGCAGGAATACGGGCCCTCGAAGCATAAGGAATCGGCCTAACCCCGGCTCATTCACAATTGAGGAGTCCGAGAATGAGCGTCGGAGACTCCATATGGAGCCTAAGGAAGAAGAAAGGGGTGAGATTTTCTCCCTAAGTCTGGCGGACATAAACAAGGCTATGGACGTGGTGGCCACACCTGAGATGGCGGATCCGGATGCCATCCAAGCGCTGAGGGAGCAAGTCTTGGAATGTCCTCAGGAAGGGGAGTTGGAGTTAGTCTATCGTCTCCCAGGTGGACGAAGGGAGTCTGCAATGATGCAGGCACAGACGATAAGCCGGCCTTTTTTAGGGGGCGGCTCAAGCGGGGTACCCAAAGGAGTTACAAGACGATAGACAAGAACTGTCGTCCAGTCCCCGTCCTCGTCACGGAAGATGAAGAGGCGTATTATGAGCGAGTGCGGGGACTGATACAGCGTATGAGAGAGAGGGCGTCGGCGGGACCTTGCCGTATCAATGAAGGGAACGAAGGAAAGCTGATAGTGGGAGAGCCAGAGTTCCTATTACCCCGAGAGAGGGAGTTAATGGTGGCTTTGATGAAGAAGAGGCATCGTGCCTACACTTTCAACGATGACGAGCGCAGAAGGTTGGATGTGGATAAAATCCCAATGATCCAAATCCACACTGTACCACATGTGCCTTAAAACCTGAGAGGGGCGCGATATCCTAATCCAGATGAGGAGAAGAAGGTGGTGGATTATCTCGATGGTAAGATACGCACGTACGTCGCCGATTATTCAAGTGGACCGTATGTGACTCCCTGGTTTTGTTTTGTCTAACCTAATGGGACGCTACGGTGGGTGCAGGATTTACAATGATTGAACGCGGTGACTGTACGAGATGTAGGAGGCTTACCAAATGCGGACGCGTTATCATAGTCCTGCGCGGGAAGGCCCATAATCTCTCTCATAGACCTCTACTCTGGGTACGATCAGTTTCCAGTCTACCCGCCGGACCGGCCTGTGACGGCGATGCATACACCGAGCGGGTTAATCCACATGAATGTGGCCCCGCAAGGGTGGACGAATGTCGTAGCAATGGTTCAAAGAAGTATGAAACGAGCCATGCAGACTGTCAGTCCACATATCACTCAGCTATACATCGACGACTTGGCAGTGAAGGGTCCGGTAGAGAAGGAGACTGACGAAGTCCTGCCGGGAGTACGACGCTTTGTCTGGAAGCACGTCCAGGATCTCGATAAAGTTCTGGGCCTGCTAGAGGAGCATAACCTCACTGTAAGTGGGGCCAAATCCAGGCACTGCATGAGGGAGGCCACCATCCTTGGATTTGTCTGTAGTGAGAAGGGTCGTCGACCGGATGTAAAAAAAACGGATAAGATTATTGAGTGGCCGGTGCCTTTCCACTCAATAACGGATGTCAGGAGTTTCCTCGGCACGTGTGGATTCTGGCGGACCTTCGTCAAGAATTTCGCCGCCAAGACAGAGCACCTACGAAAGTTGGTGCGTCAAGATCAAGAGTGGGTTTGGGGTGAAGAACAGGAAGAAGTCGTCGCAAGGATGAATGAAGAGTTCAAGGAAGGAGGGTTGGTGTTAGGAGCGCCAGACTATGAAGCCACAGAGATGCAGCCATTTATTGTGGAAACAGATGCAGGCCCAACTGCTCTAGGGGGAGTCCTAATTCAGGCGGATGTCGAAGGCAAGGAGAGGCCGCTGAGATTTTAGAGTCGTACTCTAAATACGACAGAGAGAAACTACTCTCAGTTCAAGAAAGAGACTCTCACGGTACTCCATTGTCTGAAGACCTTTCGATATTATATCTTTGGAAGGCGGTTTATACTAAAGGTGGATCCTACGGCGCTTTCCTACTCGCTAAGGAATTATGTCCCTTCGGACCCGACGGTAGCCAGATGGTTAACCTACATCTGGATGTTCAATTTTGAACTGGAGAGGATCCCTGGGAACAAGAACCGAGCAGATGGGCTAAGCCATATCAACTGGGATGGACAAAAGGAGGAGTCAGTAGAGGTTACACCCCCAGTTGATGGCTTCCTAGATCAGAAGGAGGATGTCCGTCTCCACATTAATGAATGGTCCTTGCGAGTACCAAGTTGTGTTTGCCATCCTATCTTGCTCGCACCGAGGGGGTACGTGAAGAAGGCAGAGTTAGTGCTTAAGCCATTTGAGGATGAAGATCCTTGGGGTGGCAAGGATGTCCAGTGGATGATGAGGTTGGCATTGGCAGGAACGCATAGTCTGGCGGATGAAGTAAGGACGATGGAGGAAGGGTCAGACCAGGTAGAGCGACACGAAGAGTTGATGGGAGGAATGTATCTCCTTGTTAATACATTTCTGCAAGACAATCCAGCTCGAGTAAACCCAGTGGATCAAGAGGTAGTGCCAGAGAGTCAGGACGACGAGTTTGAGGAGGGAGAGATTAAGGAAGCATTCCGTGCAGAAGAGTACGAGGGGATCTACCTGGAGCTAGGACTTCTTCTATCATATGAAATGCGGGATAGGGATACAAGCGAAAGGGCTTAGAAGATGAGGCATCTCTATTTAGTGAGGGACGGTCATCTCTTTGTGAAGAGGCAGGTAGGAAACCCCAGGAGGGTTGTGTGCGGCAGAAATCGGCAGATAGACATTGTAGTTGCGCTTCATGATGGCATTGCGGGAGGACATCGAGGAGTCAGTGCCACATATGCCAAGGTCAGCGAGCTAGACTACTGGGACAGAATGTTGGACATGGTTAGTAAATTATGTCGCTTGTGTGTGCCTTGTCAAGAGAGATCGCCACAAAGGCCTGGAGAGCCATTGCATCCAAGGTTGGAGAGAGAGGTGGGTGTCGGAGTGCATCTCGACTTATTGTTTTAGCCAATGGGAGAGCATGGCCATAATTACATCTTCGACACGCAGGATAACTTGTATGGATTTGTGGATGGGCGTGCCATTCGTACCAAGACGGGTCCGGTCCTAGCAAGTTGCATCGAGGAATACTATCTGCGCTATTTGTTTGTTAAAGAATTCGTGATGGACAGGGGATCGGAGTTTACCTGCCAGGAAGTGCAGGAGTTGTTGTCCAGATACGATGTGGTAGCCAACTATACCACAGCCGCGCATCCCCAAGCGAATGCCCCAGTTGAAAGAGGACATAGCACCATCACGACCCTTCTGGCTAAATGGACTGGAGATTGGCCTAACCAATGGTCGAGGTATCTAAGGGCGGCATTCTTTGTTGAGAACATTACGGTGAAGCGGACCACGAAGTATGCGCCAGTTACGCTATGGTATGGGAGGCACGCCACCTTTCCAATCGAGAGCTTTCTGAAAACTTGGAGGCGAAATGACTTGAAAACCAACCTGTCCTTTGAAGAGTTACTTGATATCCGAGCTCGACAGGTGGGTGCAATTGAATAAAGAATTCAGGAGGCGTCTAACCAGGTGGAAAGGAGCCGTATGGAAGACAAGGCTCGATGGGACCAGGTGGCGTGCGTACGGAAGGTGTCGTTAAAGGTTGGGGACCTCGTATTGCTGTATGATTCATCGCTGGAGAAGCAATGGTCTAGAAAGTTGGATAAGAGGTGGTTAGGGCCATATCGGATCGTGCGTTGCGGAGACTTTGGCGCTTATCAGATTGAGGAGTTGGATGGGACCCAAAGGAACGATTAGGTTTCATGAACGAGGTTGAAGAAGTTTGTGGCCAGGGAAGAGGTGAGATAGCTGACACTTCCGCCATCTTAGAGAGCGATGAGTCATAGAATAATTTTATGATGGATGCTTAGAAAGTAAGTTGGTGAGTAGAATGCACGAGTAGAGATGAGTGATGAATTGCTCTGAGTACGACCTGATTTGCCTGCTTGCTTACCCCGTGGTGTGCCTGTCGTCTCTTTTCCTGCTGTGCAGGTCTGACTTTTCAAAGATAGTCATGCCGAGGGAAGGGCGGGAGCGACGGCCACCGCAGTGGCGTGTGAGAGCCCCAGGGGATTTTGAGCGGCGCAGGTCATACCAGAGAGATGCCCATCCACGGCAGCGACCCCTGGGAGCATCCGGAGGAAATGAGCGACAGAGGTCGGCTAGAGCTCACGCCAGTTTTCGATAACGATAACATCGAGCTCTTCCTGGATTCCTTCTGAGGCCATGCGGCACGAAAGCGATGGGATACCCGCGAGATGATTCGGCACCTGCGGGGAGTAGGGTGTTTTGAGGAGCCCGTGGCGCACATTCGGGAGGAGGCTGTGACTTGGTCAGAGGTGGAGAGAAGGATACAGGAGTTGAGGGTTTCGCCCGTGGACCGGGACGGGACGGGGTGCCCATCCGCTTGCAGGATGGCAGCGTGGACGAGTTTCTGCCAGCCTACGAGCGATGCATGCGAGTCTTGGATTATCCACGAGAGGAGTGGATGCAGACACTACTCTTGTGGACTCGACCGGCCGAGCGATCGATGGTTAGGCAGATTCGCGACAAGGCAGCTGATTGGGAGGGATGTCAGGCTCGATTGAGGCGGGAGTTCTGGCAACCAAAGCCAGAGAGACGAGAGCCTGAGCGCGAGAGGAGACAGGAGCCGAGGCCCTCACCCATAGGGGTGGATGGCAGGCCGATTCGGTTAGCCATCGGGAACGTGGAAGAGTTTATTCCCGGGTTCGAGCAGTTTATGCTCCGTCAGCAGGTTGTGAGGGAGGATTGGATGGTAAGGCCATCATTATGGACTCGGAAGGCCAATAGACCTCTAGCCCGCTACGTGGCGGATATGGCTCAGGACTGGGAGAGTTGTAGGGCTCACTTGAGGGTTGCATTTCGGAGGTTCAAGCCGCGGTCACCCGCAGGAGAGAGGCGGACACTGAGTGAGGCAGGGGAGCCTGGGACCTCGCGAGGAGGACGACAGGCCACCACTGGACAGGGTGGCAGGAGGTTGGCAGAGTTGGAGGAGTCAGGCGCCATTCCGGAGTGTGGGCTAGGGCCCATTGATTTACCTATTGACATAGAGCCTGCGAGAGTTCCCCCACACCCACGGGACGTGACATCATCACTTGGAGACCCCCTACAGGATTTGGAGGCACACTTGGATGCCTCGAGGTGGGGGACGCCGTCGGTCGACGAGGGACCTAGCGAGACGATGGAGGAGGGTCCCCAGCGTCCACCCCCTGTCACAGGATCGAGATTGGCGACCATACCTGAGGGTTCCCACGAGGGAGAGGAGGAGTCGCCACGAGAGACTGTGCAGAGTCCCCCTGTGGAGGTGCCGCCGAGAGAAGGGGTTGAGGCAGAACGGAGGCCAGTAGATCTAAGGAGGGAGGCGATTATGATTATCAATACCCACACTGCTGCCTTCGCTCAGGAATGCCCTGATATGGAGGGAGTTGGGGTCGAGGATCGGCCACAGAGGCATGTTGTTGAGAGTCTGCCTCGCGGGCCTGTACCGGAGGGGTTGGTGGGGGAGCCATGCGCTGGGAGACAGGGGGTAGGACCAGAGTTATCCGCAGGAGAGGCCCATCCCACAGATCAACGAGAAGCGGCTGAGACTAAGGAAGAGAGAAGGGCCACGCGGCTAGTAGAGATATGGGAGGACACGCGACGACTGGAGGAGGCAGGAGAGCTACCAGATCAGGCGCCAGAGTCACCTCCTAGGCCGCGGAATGTCATGGAGGTGTGGGACAGGTACTTTGAGGGGGATGGTGAGGGGTTGGTTGAGCCTGCGAGAGCCGGATTTGACGTGGCGAGAACCATAGAGGGGAGTTTGGAGCGGAAGCTCCACCATTTGGCGAGGACATCCTTCAGCAAACATTTGATGTTGGAGGGTGAGCTGGTCGGGAGGAGGTGGAAGGATGGGAGTCTGGGAGTGCGACTCGAAGCGGCTGAGGAAGAGTGTCAAGAGCTTAGAGCACGTACTACCGGTCAGGTTGTCACCATCTAGGAGTTGAGGTAGTTGGTGCAGAGTTTGACGGGCCAGTTGAGTGTGAGTCAGGCAGAGATGGCAAGCCTTAGGGGACGAGTGGATTCGGTGGAGAGAGAGCTCCAGGAGCTCAGGGAGCCGTCGACAGGTGGCGCACAGGAGACACGACAGCGGAGCCTGAGGTGGTAGTGAGAGCGGGTGAGATGACCTCCTCCCAGGTAGAGGAACGGACCGAGAGAGAGGTGGATTGGACTGAGGGGGATCGTTACGGTGCGCAGAGTGGGACGGCGGGATCTGGTCAGGAGCCTTCAATAGGGAGAGTGATGATGGAGTCGGCAGAGGTACAGGCAAGGAGGGAGGCTGAGCAGGGAGCTTACGAGTTTAGACCGCCCACAGAGTTGGTGATGCATATTCCTGCCAGTTCAGCCGAGGATCGACCCCCACCGGCGCCCATTCCGCCATGCACAGACGACGAGCGCCAGGGAGGATGCAATGAGGCGGCACAGGGACCTGCTGACGGAGCGATGGATGTGTTACTAGATGTATTGGACATGACTGGGGTCATGTGTACGCCCCTGCCAGAGAGGATGGTAGGACCTACTCACGAGTTGAGTCTAGAGGGCGAGGTACGGACGACACAGAGTGAGAGGCCCCAACGATTGGATATGTCGGAACACCCGCCAGAGAGGATGGAGTGGCAGAGAGAGTCGAGTGCGCCTGGTCAGGGGGCCAGATCGACAGAGGAGATGGGTCTACCGCAGTGTTATGAGGTGGATAGAGAGGGCAGTGAGGCACCTTCATCGTCGAGGTCCCAGGGGAAAAAGAGGAAGCTGAGAAAGACAAACGACTCAGCCTGCTTCTTCTGCAAGGATGGGGTACATTGGGCCTTGCAGTGTCCCGTGCTCGCTAGGGACGTAGCAGCGGGGCGAGCCACGGTGCGCGATGGAAAGATTTATGATAGGCAGGGTAGGATTGTGATGAGGGCACCAGATGTGGTCGAGCCCAGTCATATAGGCAAAACCAGGAAAAGATTAGGGACTAGAGACTGGTTTGCCTTCTCAGTAGGAGAGTTAGAGTTCAGCCACGCATGGAGCACGAGTCTAGCATTGTATATATTCGGAGTTTAGGCAGACCGTGCGTTTGTATTTTTGTAGGTGACTTAGTTAGTAGTATGTAGCTGTGTGATACTACATTTTGTGGGTTTGACATGTGTTTGTAGGATCTGAGTGTACGGATGTGACCGAGTGAGTTTATATCATTCTCTCTGTGTACTTGAGGCGTGAGTTACTCGACTGGATGAGATGAGAGAATTAGGGTACCTACGTGACTTTTACCTGAGAGAGATACTTGGATCCCATGTACATATATTGTGTGAGACACTATGAGGCTTGGGATTGTGACGATTGCTTCCGCTCTCACATGTGTGGTTTTATCCTGATGTATGATGGTTTTGTGTGGAAAATGTCTTGAAACACATCTCACATTTATGGATGTACGTTATGTAAAACAGTCTACTCTTCAGTATACTTGTGCGATCTGCCTAAAGGCGGATGATAGAGCAGGGTATAAGGGGAGGAAGTGCAGTCTGTTTGTGAAAGTGTTTGACAATTTTTGGAAGGATTTATTAGCCTAGGAGGCTCAAAGTGCTTACCACGTTGGTTATTATTTGCTTAAAGATTTGACAAAGACCCATAAGATGGTCTTTCAGTGATGTTGGTTCCATGATGAAACCCCCTTAGGTTTTTGAAAAGAAGGGGGGATGTTTGGCTTTATGATGAGACCCCTCGTGATTTTTGGGAGAGGGGGTGTTTTGTTCCGTGATGAGACCTCTCGTGATTTTGAAAGAGGGGGTGTTTAACTCCATGGTGAGATCTTCTTGAATTTTTGGGAAAAAGGTGATGATTTTGATTGTTGGAGGACTCACCTCTAAAGATGAGTGAACTGATTTATGGCATGATAAGCCGTCTGATGAGTGATGAAAGTCTGACGAAAAATGCCACATTTGCTTGAGTTGTTTGATAGGGTCGCAATGAATGTAGAGCGTGAGATGTCTCAACACGAGTGACTTATGGATCTGATCAAGTCAGGGGTCATGGCCTGGTGGACCTAGCGGTGATTTTGTTTGTGCTTGTGCGAAGGGTGCCATGCCTTTTGAGAGAGAGTTGGTAAATGCCTTTAGACCCCTGTGTAATCTCGCAGTGGGCCCGTGATTTTTGTTTTGCGACGCCCCGTCTAACCATTTGTGCTAGTTCTAAGACATATTGAAGGAAGGTCAAGCTGACGGAAAAGAAGTTTAGCACCACTTGGGCGTAACCCCAGTGGATGGTTGCAAGTCGGCGCAACCTGGCTGCGGGACCGCGAAGTGAGAGTTTAAGGGGAGTTGCTCGCCCAGGGAAATTACTTCGTGGGATAGTGAAAGGTGATTTTTTTTTTGAAAAATCCTGATTTGAAGGTTATCAGGAGGGAACCTATCGTTGCGCAACTAGCGAGGGTACTGCCACCAAATAAGAAATGCGGTGGGCCGTAGTCGTGGTCCGATCAGCCAGGCTATGGTGGGCCAAGATGGAGACCTGGCCTTTCTGTTCTAGACTGCAGAAAGAGCCGAGTGGAGATTATGTATTTATATACGTATGTATAATAATTATGAAGAACTTCTTTGGAAGGAAGGCGACTATGCCTTCAAAGGTCTCGGTTAGGGCCCACGTTTCTAGTTTTGGCCAGGACTAGGGACACCCAACGAGAAGTCGAAGGTTGTCTAGGGCCGGGGTGAGAGGATAATCGAAAAGGTCATTGGAACTTATGCTGTCCGCTTCCCATTGACAGCGGCGATAAGGACCCGGATTGGAATTCAGGCAGCATATAGTCGCAAAGGCCTGTTTTGATGGAAGTCTCCACCTCAGATCTGTCGGCTGATCATTAGCCTCCTTTTCGTCAACATTTTGGGTAATCTGATAGCTTTTTGATTCTACGAAGCGACGGGGAAGTCGCTTGATGTGGTTCAGTAAGCGACGGGGAAGTCGCTCGATATGGTCCGGTAAGCGACGGGAACGTCGCTTATTATGGTCCGATAAGCTGTCGGTGCAGGTACCCTTACAAGGGTACTCGCACTGGGTTTTCTGCAGTTGACAGAGAAATGGGTCGATTTAGAATAAGAAGGAAGGCCGCACGAGTCGCGGGGATGCACGGACTAAAAGGTTTGACAGTAACATCTAGAGATAGAGAGTGTGTGGGCGCGCAGGTTGAGGCGCGCGTGATTTCCTCTCTTCGATTACAATGGAGGACACGGCGTGGATGCCGGCCAGGTTGTTTATCATGATTGTTGTTCACTTTGATTAAACTAACTAGTCTGAGGAACGCTCCTTTTCTCTGGCTCCGCTTGGTATGTGGGATGGTTCAGTGAGCCTGTGTGAGCTCAAGCGGA